ACTTCACCATCTAACTGTACCTTTACTGTGAGAGCCAATAATCACCTGCACACACCTTGCTGAGCCCCTCCCTGACCTCCCTGCTCGCTCACACGCGATGAGCAATTGAGCTGTCAGTCAAGCAGGAAGGGAAACTGTTGTTGAAACTGAACTTGCTCGCAGTGAGGAGCTGTGGGGGCCCCGGCTCGAGGCCACTGTGTGGGCCCGTCTGTTATCTGCAGTCACCTCAGTGCACCTCAGAGGGGATTACCTGAGGGGCTCCAACACAAACACAAACAAGAGGAGGGTGAGGGGCTATATTTGGAAGTCCTGCATGGAAAAAAAAAAAAAAAACTCATGCATGAAGCTGCAGCATGTGAACCACGGTCCACACAGTGGTGTTACTGTGATGAATGAACAGCACAGCTTATAAAAAGAGGGAATAATATGTCATCTTTTAAATTTCTGCAGGTATTGAATATATTTTCAGGTTTCATTTTTTCTGATGCTAGAAGATGATCAATATCTGCTGAATTAAATCACAATGAGCATGGCCTGTGCAGGGATCACTTTCTGCTTTTCTTCTTTTCTGAGTTTTTCAAGTCTACAAATGCAGTCAGTTCCACCAGAAATACAATCTCATTCCAATCCTTAACTAGCCACTTGATGGATTAGCCACAGGCATACAATAAAAACGTTTTTTTAATTTTTATTTAAGATTTTTTTTTTTTTCCTTGTATGCCTTTATTAGAGAGACAGGACAGTGGATGGAGTCAGGCTCAGGGAGAGAGAGAGAGAGAGAGAGAGAGAGAGAGAGAGAGAGTGGGGAATGATATGTTGGAAAGGAGCCATAGGTCACAGGGTGTGCAAACAAACCACTAGGCCACCAGTGCCCCCATGAAAAACCTTTGTTATCCCTTTGCTCCTCCCCCTAATCACACATGATCACTTCTGCTCCAAAAAAAGACAAGATGGTGATGGTAAAAATCTGAACAGTAGTCCACAAGGTAAAGGGTGATGTCTAAATATACTTATATATGTCTGCGTGGTCGGCAGATTTGATTCTGTGAGCAATGTTAAGCTTTGTTTTGTTTTCATGTCGATAAAGGCCTGAGAGCTGACTCTGAAATTGCAACAATTTTGCTGTGAAGCTGAAAGTTTGACACCTTCATCTGTATGTTTGGTGTCTTGTAAACCCATGAAAGTTTATGTACTCAAACACACACACACAGAGTGCTGTCTTTAAATAACAATTAGAAATGTATTGAATGAGTGAACCTGCAGGAGAAATAAAAAAAAAACTGGACTAAACTGACCGTGCAGTGAATTCATTACCGCCGGTTGAGCACAAAGTATGTGCACTTTTTACAAAACACACTTCAACTTGTTTAATGAGCAACAAAAGTCAGTCCCATGACCAGAGGAGGTTCAGGATCACTAGTTCTACAAGCCACACACACACACACACACACACACACACACTAGAGAAAGTCAGGCAGTGTGTGTGAGCTGTAGAAAAAGTCTTATGACAGGATGTAAAAAGGACAGAAACATCAGAGAAAAGGGGACTGAAAGGAGAAACAAACCCAACATTCTGAAGAATACGTCTGCAGCGTTAAGCATGCTCTTTTGCTCAAAAAATGTGGAATAATTCACAACTCTCTCTCAAGATGGACACTCTTGTTTATTAAGACAAATTAAGACAATGATCTCAAACCACTTTCCCACAGTGTGTGATTGTTTCTACTGAGAATCATCCTGACCGATCTTTGTTGTTTTGTTTTGTGACCTTTTTGTTTGTTTTGATTTGTATCTAATCACCATAAATGAGGGAAACCTAAATGATTTATGAGGCTTAAATAAAGGTTGGACAATGAAATGAAAATATAAAGATATATACACACTTTTTGAACGTGTCCCTCTTCTTTTGTTTGATTGCTTTTTGCTAAAAAAAAATCATTAGAATGAGCTCAATGCTCATAAGTGTTTGACATCCTTCTCTTAAATCAGACTGTGCTATAACCTCGTTTAATTATTTAATGAAGCTGTGCTACTGCTCAATATTCTGTTTAATCCTCATCATATATGATGCTTCTCTCTCTATTTTTCTCATAGTCCACTGCACAGTTCCTACATTGCACCTTTTGTATATTTTGTGTTTTTTTTTTATATTTTATATTTTATATTTTTAAATTCTATTACTATTTTATATATTGTAATAGCTTCTTACACTGTATTATTTAAGTTGTTTCTAGTTCTGCTTTATTTCCTTGTTAATTGTTTAGCACTAATACACCAAGTTAAATTCCTTGTATGTGTAAATGTACTTGGCATTAAACCCCGACTCTGATTAAAGTAGGTCTTTACTATGATTAGATATTCATTATGTGACTCTTTAACAGATGTGACAATTGAAGTTTATTTCTTCTAATCTTATTATTTATATATGTATATATATATATATATATATATATATATATATATATATATATATACATATATATGAATACTTAAATCTATTATTATCTTCATATTGTTGGTCCTTCATTCTATTCAATGTGACTCGTTAACATTGGTGTACCTGTTCTGAAGTTTTAGAGAAACATACCAGACTTCTTGCTCATAAACCCCTGAGGGGCCGGTATTATACGTTTTCTTCTTCCTGCTCCTGTTTGATCTTGAACACTGTTTCAGTACGATGAGAAAATGTGTCATGCTGTGTGTTAGTGTGTTGGGATCAAACACTGAAAACAGCAAATAAAATCAAATATGAATGAATGAAAATGACTGATAAGAGTTTCACTTCAAGTTTAAATGTTTTAATTACTGACATATTCAGTCTTTTTTTATACCTCATTGAGTGAAAGTCCTGTTGGGGTTTGGTCTACTATCTGGTGCTGCAGGAGGCGGTGACAGTTGGTCTGCTGCAGTGGACGGTCTTCACTCAGTGAATGTCTGATCTGAATATTTATGTGTCAGATTTATCCACGTTAGGATTTACATTTTAAAGCAGGATCCCTGCAGACTTTACCATTTAAGATTATGATAAGATTTGTTTTAATATAAGTGCAATATAATGTCAGTTGTTTCCAGTCTATGAAAAACAATCATGAAACAATTTTCCAGTGATTAATTACAAATAATTAAAATAATAAAGTTCTGGTTAACAATGATTTAAAGAAAGTATACGTGTATGTTTGTGTTAAAGAAAAGAATAAAACTGTAAATAAAACAAAGGTAACTAGATCAAGACAAATAAACAATTTCAGGATAGAAAAGTGGGCCAAATATTCTTTTTTAAATCGGATATTTTTATTTGAACATATATTTCAGTTATTTACTTTACTATTAATTCTACAGCACATATATTTTATTATGTATACACAAAAAAAATCGTGCATTTCTTTCTTTGGATATGACTCTTTTAAAATGTTTTTTTGATTTGATACAAAATAATTTATTAAATCTCTTTTTTGTACTTCCTTTGATTGCTTTTGCTGATTCTTTCACAGTCGAGTTGTCAATCAACTCGATCTGGGCGGGTCTTCCTCCTTCGCTTAAATAATATTTTTACTTTTTATTTGACTTCCTTTTTCAACACATCTTTATATTTTTGACTGTATTATGTTTACAGAAGCAGGCCTCTGCGTTCCTCCTGGCACTTCTTTCTTTCTCCAGAAAAACGTTTTTATCCCCAGACTGATTTTATGAAAATTCCAATTTTCAAACATGAACATTTTTGCTTACATTTTAGTGTATTTTTTTTTGTGCCATCAAACATCCTCAGAGAACGGAGATGTGCAAGGAGTTTGTGGTGTGTGAGCAGCGGAGGGTCAGAGGACATTAGCGGGCCGCTGTCCGCGGTGCTGAAGCTCGAACCCGCGTCACATCCGGACCTCAGCGGGCGGGCTGAGCAGAGGGGCCCGATCAAGAGACACAGATACCAGGACCCAAGAGTCTGGTTCTGGAGAGCGGGTACACACAGGAGGCTAATAATAGAGCATCGTATACCTGCTTTAATCAGCTTCAGTGCGCAAGCCCAGTCTGCCTTTCTGTACATTTTTTCAACATGAAACTGTAACTGAGACGCAGCGGTTGCAGAGTGGTGTAGCAGGTTTCATTTTATGTTGTTGTTTTAATGAGGGGACATTAATGAGTCAGAAGACGGGGTCCGCCTCCTCCTGCTGGCTGGCTAGGAAAACGCACCCTCAATGCTCATTTAATCAACTCCACACTGAGGCGTTAAACGAGACAAGGCACAAGGTGCATGCAAACAAGGAGAGTGTGGCGCCGTTTTTCATTTCACTGCTGCGGAGAAAATGTGCGGCTTCCAAAGCCAAACATAGGCCTGTATGTATGAATATAATCAGTGGCGGTTTCACGACTAAATGTTCGCCAATTTAGGATAAAAGAGGGACTTCAAAGGTTATTGTTAATTTGGCTTAATTGTGATGCGTAAAGCGTCATGGCTGCTGCGTCAGAGCAGCAGCTATCAACGATGTTTAAGCATCTTTATGTACATTATATCATTAAATGTTATATTTTTTTACAGTGTAACTGTACTTATTGATAAAGTAATGCAAATATACAAGACCAACAATATATCTTTAAATAGAAGGATAACTAATATGTTTTATTAAAAATGTAAAACAGGTCTCATATTAAATAAATACAAGAAGAAGACGGAAAAATATATGTTTGCAGTTAATAAAAAGACATTTTAAATATTTGCAGTATGCATCAGTGAAATCCTTCAGCTTCACTTCGTTTGCACCTTCACACTCGGTTCGTGTTAAACAAATAATTGCCACCAACACTTCAGTTTACTTTTTCTCAACTTTGCACAGCTGCAGGCGCTGAGTTTACGCGTCCAACAATCCCGCCTGTTACCCGTGAGTATAAGTACACTAAAGGAGGGGGAGAGAGGGGGAGGTGGTGGTAGGAGGGGTGGGTGGGGTGACACCCTTTGCTACAAACCTGCCCACAGTATCAGAGCTCAGACGGCCTCTGAAAGGCCGGGA